CCAAGGTGGTGAAAGCCAAGGAAAAACTAAAACAGGAAACTATGAATAAATAAAATGATGCATGGTCACCTAATTCAAGACTTTAAAAGCAAAGAGGCTTTGGTTCTTTCCAGTGAAAATCGCAAAATTAAGGCTAAAGCATAGACATGGAGTTGGCAACTCATTCTGTTCTAATATGAGTCAGAGACTTTATAGTTTCTTTCACATTTCCTTAATTTCCTCGCATTAACAACATGAAAATACCATCCATTCAGTCCTTTTGTTCTCTTCAACATTTTGTAAGGAGTGTGAATGACTCCTCTATGTCAGTGTTCTTTAAGAAAGATTATTAGTCACTATCTTTTATTCAGTTTCTGTAATTTCAAAAGCTGCATATTAGATTTCACAAAATATGCCTCTAGTACGTATCACAGGAAAACCCTGTGTACTAATGAGATTACACCAATAATTATGATAAATCACTTGAAATGTTTATATTTAGATATTTTGATTTAAAATGGAAATTTCACATAGGTCATTCTTATTTAAGGTTTAAATACACTTGTAATATTTAATTATTGCTCTGTAATTATATATTGGCATTGGTAGAAAATTTTGGCTTGAATTTTTAAATGCTGTATATTTTAATTTGCGTGTCCTGCCTTATTTGTGCAGTGTAACTTCTTCCCCATCAAGCATCCAGGAGCATCACTTGTTGGTAGGTTAGAAAAGTAAATATGAACATAAAATGCACAGCAAATGCTATCATCTTAACAGACACAAATATAAGTTTGACATTTCATATTTTGTCATTTGATCTTGCCAGATTGATTTATGACAGACAATAAAGTTGTCAAAGGCTTTTTGTTGTTGGCACTGTTTTAGTTTTCAAATTATGAGAAAGCAAGTTTTGCTATACAGAGAAATGACAGTAGTTCTTTGACTGATATGAATGAAATGACGGTTCCTTCTGTGAATAAAGCCTGGTGCTATGAAACTAGGATGTCACTCTTTCTTTGGCAATGAAAACTTCCATTAAAAACCACCTTCACTTGATTGGTGAGTTGAGGCCATTGACATTGATGGTTATAACTGATATGTACTGACTTATTACTGACATGTTATTGGCCTTTTGTTGACTCTTTTTACTTTTTCACCTTCTCCTTTTAGTTTCTTGCCTTGCCTATTTGATTTGCTCTGTTGGGCCTCATGGTGTTGTTACCTTCATTGTCTTTTTCTAGGATCTTGTTTAGAATTCTTTGCAGTGCTGGTTTGGTATTCATGTGGTTTCTCAGGTGTTCTTTGTCGTGGAAGTGTCTTATTTCCCCCTCCATTTTGAAAGAGAGTTTCGCAGGATACATCAGTCTAGGTTGGAGGTAGTTCTCTTTTAGTACTTGAAATATCTCCTTCCAGGCTCTCCTTGCCCCAAGGGTTTGTGTTGAAAAGTGTGCTTTGATTCTGATGGGCTTTCCTTTATATGTGATTTGTTTCTTTTCTCTTACTGCTTGTAGTATTTTGTTCTTCTGTTGGATTTCTGGGATCTTGATTATTATATGTCTAGGTGTAGATTCTTTTTTGATTGTAGCTAGTTGGGGTCCTATATGCCTCAGTTATCTGAATGTCAAATTTTTCTCCTCTGTTTGGGAAGTTTTCTGTCATTAATTCTGCGAACAGCTTTTTAAAGTCATTTGTATTTTCTCCTGCTACTTCGTGTATTCCTATCAATCTTATGTTATTCTTCTTTGCATCATCTAGGAGTTGTTGGATCGATTTCTCATGATCCCCTACTGTTTTTAAGAGACCACTCTTCTCATGGTCACTGACTGCAATCTTATCTTCTATATCTAAATGTCTATCTTCGCATTCTTTTATTCTCCTGCGTATGCTTCCTATGGAGTATTTAATCTCCTGGATATCTGTTTGAATCTGTTTTATGGATTCCATTTCTTTCCGATGTTGGGCGTTTATTGTTTCCATTTCTTTCTTAGGCTGGGCCTTCATGGCTTCTATCATGGTCCTGAGCTCATCTATTTTTTTGTTAGTTTCTGCTCTAGAGTCTCGAATAGTGACTTCCATTTTGCTCACTGTCTCTATGGTTATCTAGGAAATTATTTCTGTTTTGAATTTTTCTAGAGCCTGATTGACCTGTTTTGTTACTTCCTGTGCTTTGAGTTCAGGGTGTCCTGGTGGTTCACTATCGGCCTTTTCATCCTCATTTGCGCTACTGTTTGCCATTGGTGAACTGGAAGTCTGTCCTTGTGTCTTGCTTAAATGTTTTCTCATTTTAATTTTTGTTTTCGGGCTGTCCTTGGTTTAATCTCTGGGTTATTACTCAAATCTTCCTGATATAGTTGTGCCCTAGCTTCTGGATCTCTAACGAGCCACAGACATTCTCATCTTCATAACATCAGAGAAACAGCTCATCAAATCAACCGCAATGCTTTATCCCAACTGATAAAATCAGCAACACATTAAGATGAAGCACAACTTGGACACTGACCACCTTTGGTAGTCACTAGTCTATCACCCTTAAATCATTTTAATTAAATTGAAATCAAGAAGCAGTCCAGAACATGTCTGCAGTGAACAAAATTTCAGTATACTGTATTTACCATTTAATTTCTCAGACAGAGCTAGGATGCAAGTCCCCTGGTCTCAGTTAGCTGATGCCTGAACCCCATGATGCTGACTGACCTCAGGCTGCAAGGCCCAGATTGAGTTCCCCAACCTTCTGAATGGTTGAACTCCACAACATTCTATTACAGGTTTCCCACACCCTTTCTTTAAAGATGTTCAAAGTTGGGAACTCAAAAAATACCCTTTATGACCACCTCTGCCTCTGCAGAGTGGGTGCAAAGACTGGCACAGTCAGGAGGTCTGAGAGTGCGTGGTGGGGGGGACCCTTATGGGGATTCAGGGGCACCTGCACGGCTACCTTCCCGACGCTTGAGCGATGGTGGCTGGCAAAATGGAATAAGAAGCAAAATCCAACAATATGTTGTATACAAGAAACACACCTAGTGCAAAAAGAAGCCCATAGACTGAAAGTGAAAAGATAGAAAACAATTCTCCATGTGACAGGAGCCCAGACCAAAACAGGGATAGCAATCTTATTGGCAGACAAAGTAAATTTCAAATGAAAACTGATTCTAGTATTATTGATGTAGGATGGTACTGTATCATACCTCTATGAATGTAAAATATCTTATACCTGCTTTATGACACGTAGTAGCGACCATGCTTTATCAGAGCTACATTTAATGATATTACTCTAGAATGTGCTCTTTCCAGATGACGATTAAGATGCTAATAAAAAAAATGGTGCCAGGTACCACAACAGCTTTTCTGGATATTATTCTTGTCTTTGTTTTTTTGTTGTTGTTTGTTTGTTTTGTTTTGTTTTGTTAATGGAATGTGCTGAATGTCTATAATTTTGTTCAGATGACTGCAATGACTGCAGAACCTGGAAAAGCTGTTGCTGCTATCAGTGCATAACATGCTGCTATTATTAGTCTTTTTATATAAATATAAATATATATATATACATATACATATATATATATATGTATATGTATATATATATATTTATATTTATATAAAAAGACTAATAATAGCAGCATGTTATGCACTGATAGCAGCAACAGCTTTTCCAGGTTCTGCAGTCATTGCAGTCATCTGAACAAAATTATAGACATTCAGCACATTCCATTAACAAAACAAAACAAAACAAACAAACAACAACAAAAAAACAAAGACAAGAATAATATCCAGAAAAGCTGTTGTGGTACCTGGCACCATTTTTTTTATTAGCATCTTAATCGTCATCTGGAAAGAGCACATTCTAGAGTAATATCATTAAATGTAGCTCTTCCAGAATTAAGGATTATTTTGATGTTACATCATTGCCTTTTCTCTTTTACTTTCCTTTTTAGTTTTATTTTAGGATTCCCTATTTTTAATGTTCATACAGAGATTTCTTTAACTGAAATACCGGATAATTTCTTTAGTGTGAAAAACTATAATAGTACACAGGATCCTAAGGAGATAATTAATAATGTGAAATAGGAAGTAAAGGGCTAAAGGTGTAGGGAAAGTGGGGAAGTGTGGGGGAAAGGTAATAAGGGAGAGGAAAAAAATATGAGAAACTGAAAAAATGGAAATAAAGTGTTTGTAAATGAGGAGGGGAGGAGGGGGTGAAGAGAGGGCAGGGACAAGGGGAAAAAAAGAGAATCAAGACCTATTATGTAAATGTACAAGATCACAATGATGAATGTAACTGTATCGTAAACCTAGATTGTACCAATAAACTCAATAAAAAGAAAAAAAAAAAAAACACCTCCGCAACACATTTCTGTATCATGTATAGTCCTTTTGGCTACCAGGGACACATCTGTTTAGAAAATGGGAAAATAAGGAAAGGATTAGTTCAACATAGATTCAGTAAAATAAAATCTATTTGTCCTTCAAAGGGAAAATTTGAAACTTTCATGCTCTCTAATCTCTTTAATCGAGTAACATTGTGTAACTCTATTTTAGGTGAACACAAAGTAGTTATTTCATTTTTGTCTCTTGAAATCAAATTGAGTTTAAGCACGGGAGATATTTTATGTTTGTCACACAATAAACAAACGAATGAATGAATGAGGAAGCTTCTGTGAATCACTTTTGCTAGCCATCTTTTACTGGAAACAAAATATCCTAATAGAAGAAGTGAAGGTCCCATTGTAGGTGTCTGTTAGAGAAATCAGGATACATTTATCACCCACATAATGACTGGATTGTTACTGTTTTACTTGAAGCCACCCAGTTATCTAGCACAGGTAATATAAATACCGAGAAATGAGTATAACATTTTGAATATAATGAACAAGAGCTTTTGATTCCTAAAGACCAGGAAGAAGATGCTCAGAAGCAATTATGGTGGGAAATCTGGACAAAATTAAATTGTCTTTGCAACGGAGGTTAACAATATGGTAATATTCATCCTGTAATTTATTGCAATAAAATTACTTGCCTTTCAGCCTGGAATTGCGTTAGAAAATTCTTCCAACACTACCCTCAAAAAAAGAAGTGAGTATTAGGCATATGAAATTAAAAGGCTACTGTTATTTTGTACTGCTAAAGTAATGGTGAGGTTGGTAATAAAGAAAAGAAATGTAGTTATTTCACTCACTCCAGAAGAAATTGCATCTATCCAGGAGTATAGTTCAGTGGTGCACAGCACCTTCCTAGAAAACCCAAAGTCCTAAGTTCAATCCCTAGTACTGGAAAAAAATAAAACAGTAAATTACATCTTGCAGCCCTGAAAATTTTCTCTGAGCTTAATCAGCATGAAGAATTCTGATTCTTATGTTCTGGACAATTCTTTCTCAGTGATTACATTGTGCCCATGTCCATTTTTCCTTAGAATTTTCAAGAAGTATACTGTATTTCCTCATTTATCATTTAAATAAAGTTTTTTTTCTGTGTTACTTCATTAAAAATAGGTGGTTTATACCCTATGATTTTTACCATAGTAGCTTTGCAAACAATAGGAGACAGGAGTTGCATTAAAACAGTCAATAAATGCTAGCAGTATTAGTGTATTAAAAATTCCTGCTGTTTCTTAACAGCGCATAAACTTTAGTACAGCCCTAAGTTTTGAATTATTAGCATCAACGTATATATATAGTACTTTCATAATTTATTTAATTTTACAGTATTGTAGTTTCCTAGCTTTTACTTTCCTGTTTTGTTCATATACTTTACATAAGAACTTACTATATTAAGAAGGCAATAAAAATTAACTTATAGTTAATTACATAATGCTCTTTTAGTGTTCTTTATTTCTCCAGAAATTCTCATGTTTCTTCCTCAGATAACATTCCTTCTGCCAGTACAAATAATTTTTTTCTTTGCTTTGTTTTGTAAATAGTACTGTTTGTGACAAAGTCTCACTTTCATTCGTGTGAAAATGTTTATATCTTACCCTAGTTTTTAAAAAATAATTTTTGCTTGGTATGGAGAAGTAACTTGATACTTTCCTTTAGTTCTTATCGTTGGTCATTCCATTGCCAGCTAGCTTACATAGTTTTTCCTGAAAAGTCATCTCAACTGTTGATTTCTTATTTTAAAATAGGAATTTTTCAGTCCCCAGCCATGGTTAGTTTAATTGTGTGCATGAGTGTGTGTGTGTGTGTGTGTGTGTGTTTGTGTGTTAGTTTTTAAACTAGCTTACATAGTTTTTCCTGAAAAGTCATCTCAACTGTTGATTTCTTATTTTAAAATAGGAATTCTTCAGTCCCCAGCCATGGTTAGTTTAATTGTGTACATGAGTGTGTGTGTGTGTGTGTGTGTTTGTGTGTTAGTTTTTAAACTTTTATTTATTAAATAGTTTTAAATTATGGCTTGATGTGTTCTTCAATTTTGGCAAAAAAAAAGTTTCCAGCGTCTGTGTTAGTAGAATTATGTGCAAAATTTTGTTAGAAGACATTTCTGTGAGAGAAAATTCCAATGATCTAAGAATCAATAATTGTTAGCATGTAATTCAGGTCTGACCCTAAGTAAAGAGGAGGAAGAAGGAAGAAAGTTTGGGCAGAAGCATCGTAGTCTTCAATGAAGCAGTAAGGAATGTGGACCAAGGTTATGTGGCCCTCTGTGACTCATGATTACCTAGATAAAAGTTTTCTACTCAAGAAATGCCTACCTTAGGATTCATACTGGACAATGTAATCAGGAGCAGCCCATAGGAACTGTGGTCTTGATGATATATTTCACAGGAATTGTAAGCCCATTATACCCCTGATTTTCAAAAGCTATAAGTTGTGTCTTATGTCCCCAGTGATATCTCTTCAAATACTAATGTTTCATTCTGTGTTTGGCATGCTCTAGTGGGCTCTCATTAATACCTTGTTCTTGGCACTCACAATCTTGAAGAATTCCTCCACTTTGAGCACAGATGTTCCATAATGACTTTTTTTTCTAATGACTAGTGCACATGAATAATAATGGCAGGTAATTTCATAGGTTAGATTGGAAATAGACAACGGCTTTGGTAATGCGCCCTCACATTTATCCTCTCTTGTACATACACGCTCTTGCATGCTCTCTGCTACTGCCTCTCCCTCTCCCTCTTTTTCTCCTCATGTGCACTTTAGAGAAACCAGCTATTATGATATGAGTAGCTTTTTGGAGAGGCCTCAGTCACAGGGAACTGAACAACGCCTCCAGAAAATACCTAGAAAAATACAGTTTTTTAGTTCAGAAGACTTTGAGGGATAAAATCCTCCCAATAGTCATGCAAGTGAATTTGAAAATAAACCCTTTTTCAGTCAAGTTTTCATAGAAGACTGTAGATGTATCTCTCGGTATGACTGAAAATAAATGAGAGATCTTCAAATGAAGACAGTCAACTAATCTCTGCCCAGATTTCACACCCATAGAAACTGTGAGATAATATATATTAAGCCATAAAGTGTTATCATAATCTGTTAGAGTACTAGCTAGCCAGCCTTCTCTCTTCTCTATTTGGGACTCCATTTATACATAAAGCATGCCTTTCACACATGTCCTATGTATTTCTTTCTTTTTTAATCACCCACAGTTTTTCTCCTTTGTTTCAATATAAATGTATTCTATGGATCATATGTCAATTAGCTTTCTTCTGCCATCTGTCATCCAATACTGGATATTTCATATTAGAGTTTGTACTTTCCACCTGAAACTTTTATGTTTTACTTACAAGCAAATATATCTACGTTTTATCTAATTTTTAGACATGCAAATCTTATTAATTTTGAGTTAGTAATTCTGAGTCACTTGTTGCGTTTCTTTTGTCTTGCCCCTGTTTTAGTTACTTTTCTCACACTGAGAACCGTTTATCATAGCTCATAGTCTGCAGAGGTTTCTGTCCATAGTTGGCTGGCTCGGAGGCAGGTGGGTATGGCAGAGGGCATGGCAGAGTAGAAACACTCTATGGCAAAGCAGGGCAGGCAGAAGACAGCAAATAAAAGTAAGCAACAGCAGCAGCCTGTCTCTCCCTTTTATCCTTTCCAAGCTACTTGCATTTTGGGTGGTGCCACTCATACCCAGGGTGAGCCTTCCATTATCCATATGCAGAAGAATGCCAAACTAGTCAGTAGACTAATTTAGCTACTACGTGCCCTTAATCCCAGTATCACACACTCTAATCCAGCCACCTGTGAAACTTCTCACCTATGGCATGAGGCTTTTAGGGCACATCTAGACACAAGCCATCACATGCTAGCCTCTATTTGATCACTTGTTTCTATGATACACTTGTTAATGTTTTCAAAATGTCGTTATATACTTCTTTAAATATAGCATAAAAATGAGCCCCTTTGTCATTGGCAATACCCACTACTTGGCAAAAGCTAATCTTCTTATTAGGTATCTCTAAAATGATAGTGTGTCTTGATTGGCCTAGTTGTAGTAATCACTGCCTGAGTTAATTGAATCAAATGTTATAATTCTAATGCACAAGAGGTAGAATGTAACGGATGTTTCTATAAACTAATGGGCAACATTTAAGTTATTATTTATAATGTAACAAATATATGGCATATTAAAGTTTGTATTTTTTTAAAAAATAAATTGCCAGTATAGTAGAAAGAATGCAAGATACCAAAATATCTGCATCCTGGTCATACCTCTAATACTATTTGTTCTGTGTCCTTATATAATATATAACTCTTTTGTGTGTTTTTGTCATCTGTACCATTACATGAGCTTTTGCATATCTTTCATAAATATTAGTGAAAGTGATTTTATGAGATAAAAATAATGCTTTAATAGTCAAATCAAACTACGAAGGTAATGAAGGAGCACGGTTGTAAGTAAGGGATTGAGTAGTTATGTAGTTATTTTTAGCATGCTTGGTTCATACACTATGTTCTTGGCAAATTATCACATTAATGAATGCTTTAGTTTTCAAATCTCTATAAGGAGTATATTAATATCTCTGTCCTAGAATTTTTCAAATAAATGAAATGATTCATGCAACTAGAAAAATGCCTAAAACTTCAAAGAACTCAAAAGTTTAAATTATTTCCATTATCATTGTTGTCATTCTTGTGTACTAAATATTTTTTAGGACTGAGAAACTCATGAATGTATTTACTGTTTTAAAAACGATTTTCTAAGTGAACCATTGTGGAAATTGAGTATCTTTACACTTCTTCATTGATTTTATTATTCCAATGTGGGGAAAAAAAAATGCCTTGACCAGGCTGTGAGGAAAAGGTAAAATGAGTTGTGCTACATATTGTGATGATAACATAACCAAGCTCGTGTCTACTGTTAGTTATTCCACCCTCAGACATATGCCCTGTAATGGATAACAACAGTAAATAGACGCTTACTCCCGAGAAAGACTGGTCTTTCTAAACTATTACAAATAAATGCTCAGTTGTCCATCATAAATTCTTTGCCTTTTCCTAGTGAGATGTCCACAACAGCACAGTACCTGCCGTTGATTACCTAATTACGCAATCATTCCAGCAGTAAATCAGTGCAACATCTGTGACCCTATATGTCCCTGCAGTGGCCCCCTCCGTCTCTTCCTCTGGAGCTTCACTGAGGCGGTTCTCCTGACATAATATATTCATTATCCATTAGATCTGGCACACGCTCGGCGGTGCTCAATTACGATACAATCGAGCGAAGGGTCTGGTGTCGGCCAATGTAATGACTTTCTGATTATCTGTCTTTAAATGATGAATGAAATGAAAATGTACCGCTCAAACCAAATATAAGATTGTTAGGATGCCAAATGAAAATTGCACATAGCCTCCTTTATGGCAGAATGGCAGGCGCCTGCTTTTATTCAGTAAAGCTCTGTGTAGATAGTTCTCTAATCGTTTCTACCTTTCATTTCTAAGATGACTGTGAATGCATTGAACCTAAATTTTAAGTTGATATTTTGGGGTCATCGAAATACCTTTTGAATGAAAGTTTAATTCATAGGAACTTTCAAATACTTTTTTCTTTCTAACCTTCTTTCAAAAACTGACCTCTTGGTAATAGATTTATTGCTTCTAGTGTGTCACCTGGATCAGATTATTTTTTGAGCTGTTTTTGTTTCATGGAGAGCTGTAAAATAATTAAGCAGATTGATACATAAATGGGAATTTTAAAAAACATGCCAGGATTATAAGTAAGTGGGAGACTCAAAAACATTTTGTTGTTCAAATAATTATGAAGCAGGTGTTTGATAGTACAGTCATTTCTGTTTCTGTTTACATCTTTAGTTATTATTCTGTTAATTATAATTGGAAATCCAATAAAGCTTCATATTGGAACACTCACAAATCTGACTTAAATTACAGCTTCTCAATTTATTCCCTTAAATAAAACACATTGGACTTTTGATTATAAAATAATTTTAAAAATCCTTTCCCCTTCCGAACTCTTTAAACCATGTATAATAATTGAGCCTTTTGAAAGACACAGACAAGAAAGAAATATAGTGATATTAATTTCCCATGTCCCAACAAGGCTTACACATCTTGGTTGTATATTTGGGACAATTCCATAGTGACCCCATCCTTCTATAGATGCATAAGCTCCAGGCAAATCCTTGCCACACTCTGCTTCATTAATATAAGGAAGTTAGGGGAAATATGAGATATTCTGATTTAAAATTTCTATAATAAATTTCTGATTTATTTTCTTGCTTAAATTTCCATATTTGAGGTGCTGATCTAATATTTGATCTTAAGAACATGTAGTTTATTTGGGTCTTATTTAACTGGCGCAAAGAGAGTCTCTGTTAACCTCAGGTATAGAGAAAAGATGATAGCCCCAAAACCATTAACAATAATTTGAGTGTTGATCCTCTATATTTCCTCTATATTTGTTTCAGATTTAAATGTACTCCACAGTGAAGAAATGTGCTTGAGGGCCAGGGATTTAGCTCAGGGGTTCGGTGGCCTGCCTTGCAAGCGCAAGGACCCGAGTTCAATCCTGGGTTTGTGACATGTTCACATTCATAGGATTATAGGTGACTTCTGATTTTTTTATTGCAAAGAAAGACTGCCCTATATATTGGTAAAGGCAATGAGATCTTTTAGGTAAAGTAAAAAATGAGGAAAATGTGCCTCCAAGGGCATTGTTTAAATAAGCTTACTAATTAATTAAATGCTTCTCAACATACTTGATTGGTGAACTCTAACAAGAATCTGATGATCTTATAGTTTATACAAGAAGGAAAGGTAAATAAGTTTTTTTTAAATTTTGTATCTAACAGATTCCAAACTATTTAAATGGAGATATATTGAAATTTCTAGATAAATGTCAATTAATTTGAAAGTCATTGACTAGTTTTCATTTCATATTTGCTTATTTATTTAAACAATATTTGAAGAGTATACTGATTTTTATATAACTTATGTAACAAAAGTATAAACTTTTTTGCTTTATAAAGCCATATTTTTACCATATATGTTTTTAAAAGAGTATAGATTTATATATATAGGATCAATTTCACTGTCTCTCACTCAATTTACTATGGCTAGAAAATAAATATAAAACATACTCATCAAAATCCTGAATATTTATTTCTTTTAATCAAAAGACTCCAATTATATCAATAGGTAAGTTAATAATATCAATACACTATCCATGGTTATGTCAATTTTAGCTTTACCTAGAATAGAATAAACCACCATTATTCCCGAAATTTATCTGCAACTATTAAACAGTGTCAGTTTAGCCTGTGGCTTAATAATCTTCAGTTTTGTATGTATACCACATAATCTTTATGCATTAGAGTAGAAAATGTAGGCTCCTGATCATAGAAAAAGTTATTTCAATGTCATCAGTCAGAGCTTTAGCATTTAGGACAATTATTAGAAGTCCTCTACACATTGAGGGATGAGGCCAAAGAGTTCTGTTAGAGAACCTGAATGTTTCATAAGGGAAGTAGGATGTGCCCAGTTTTTCCTCCAAAGGGGGCTAACACCTCTTTCTTCCAAGACTCTAGAGAATCCGCCCTTTAACCTGAGCAGAAAATCATACAAACACACACATACATTCCAAAGCAAAAGCATGCTCCAAAATGAAGACATATGAGATCACTTAATAATTGTCTCCCAACTTCTATACTTTGTTTACTATAAAATACTACTATTGCCTTATGTTGTTTTAGAAGCTAAAATGCTTCTAAACAAAATTGTTTTAAGTTTAATTGTCATTGATGTGTAATAATTGTAGGTGTTTATAGACTGCGTGTGACTTTTCAATATGGATACAATTGTGTACTGCTCCAATAAGCACACTTAGTATTTCAGTTTTCTCATCATTTCATGTGGAGCTTTCATCTGCTCTCCTCTTATTCTTCATATAATATATAATAAGTACATTGTAGAACATAAAAAATTACTCCTATCTGATATATTCTGGTATGAATAATCCAGACTCATTCTTGGCTGCTTCCCTCACCTCTCTGTCAACTAACAATTACTGTTTAACTCTCTTTTTAGACCATTAATTTTAGCTTCCACATATGAGAAGAAATACGAAGTATTTGTGCCTCGCCTCAACCACCATTTCTATCCATTTTTCTTCAAAAGAGAGGATTCCATTCTTTTTGTGGCTTAATAATCTTCAGTTATGTATGTATACCACATAATCTTTATTAATCCATCACTGGAGATTTACATTGATTCTGTATCTTGGCTACTTGTGAATAGAGCTGCCAAAAAATATGGTGGAGAGTAGTTATGTATTTGATGGGCTGATTTCACTGATTTCAATCCTCTGGATTATCTTTCTGAAGTGGGATAGCTGGATTCATTGGGCAGATGAATTTTTAGTTTCCTTTTGAGGAACCTCCGTATTATACTCCATAATGGCTATACTAATTAATTAATTGCACTAGTACATTATTTTTTCTTTGTGTCCTTGTCTGCGTTTGTTCTTTTTAAATTTTTTTCATAATAGCTGTTCTGACTGGGAGGAGATGATATGTCATTATGATTTTGATTTGTTTTTCTTGAAGCAATTGTCCAATGTGAGACCAGGCAGAAAGAAGCTGCAGAGAAATGAGCACAAAAATGGCTTTATGTGAACCTAATAGTATTTTTGACTAAGTACTAAACCTACTCAATGGCAGATGTCAACTAAAGAGCTCTAAGCTAAATAAACCTTCCAGAGAATGCACCACATTCAAAGATCTTGGTGTTCTGACCAATACAAATACAGAGATTTGCTGCCCATCCTGACTTTTCAGTTGTTACCCACAAATGGATCTACCTAGTTGTAATACAACTTTAGATCCAAAATAAAGATTATTCTATGCCCTCCTTAGCAAAACTTAAACCCATGCCTCAAAAGAATCAAGTGAAACTGTTAGTAAATTAAGTAGCGTACTAAATAAGTCTCAAGAATCATTCAGATTCTTAACCATACAACATTCAATTGTGTACCATTTATTAAGTAATCACTAGGCATGCAAAAGGCAAGATGCTGTGATCTATATAGAGAAAACTAGGAACAGAGGAGAGAGTTCAAAAGGATGAAGTACTCAATAAAAATATGTAAGTGATGAGATGTATAAATTGTCACATAAATTTAAAATAGATATATCTACAAGTGAAAAATGTAATGAAAAGAATGATAGATATAATGCAGCATACAAAATGAATGAATGTAGAATATCAGTATTTAAAAAAAATTAAAAATATAAGAATACAAACATAATATTTTCAGTGAAAAATCATGCTGGGTAGTTTTCAGGAGTTGTAGAATATCAGTATTTAAAAAAAATTAAAAATATAAGAATACAAACATAATATTTTCAGTGAAAAATCATGCTGGGTAGGCTTTTCAGGAGTTTGTATACTATAACAGAAAGCATTAGTAACTCAAAGAGAGGGCAGCAAACTTTCCAGTAGGAAGGACAAGAAGAGAAAGGTCAGAAAAATGAAAGGCTAAGACAGAACAAAGCATGGATAACGCAAAAATGAATCTGAGAGAAAAGTCAAGCAATGTAACACACGTGTAATTGAAGTGCCAGAAAATTGGTAGAGAAACGTAACCAATTCTATAACCCTGAAAAGATAAAGAAAAATGAAAAATTTCCAACATCTGATAAAAAAATAATAATTCAGGATGGCAGAAAGATAGAAATTCCAAATAGAACAAGTAAAAAAACTCACTTTGTAAAACATAGGCAAATTAATGAAAATTAATTAGAAAGAAAGAAATTATAAGAAGTTATCCGAGGAGCAGCAAACCACAACATACATGAGAAGTAACGCCAGATAGAAGACAATGGGATAATGTTTTGAAAGTGAGATCAACCTTGAATTCTGTGTCTCATAAAAATACCATTAAAAATGAAGGCCAAATAAAGACATTCTCAAATAAATAAAACTCAAATTTTTAAAACCTCCACTACACATTTCTATGAAAAAAGGTTGAAATCATTTAGGCTGAAGGAAAAGGACTTAAAGCCACCATTATAGTGTGAAATAGTATCTACGTAGCTTAATAAATGATTTGTACTCTTCCTTGTAAAATGTATTTAAAGGGTAATTAGTTATTTTGAAGCAAAGACACAAATGCATTTTGTGGCTTACAATATATGCATATATAGAACACATTGTGACAAAGAAAGGTGAGGGTATGAGTGGGATGACGCAAATGTAGGGTCAGTCTTCATCCATTAGTGCTGTAACATTAACATATAGTGAACTGTTAAGTAAAGATGCATACTGCAGTCCCTAGAGTAACGACTGAAAAGCAGAACACTGGGTTACAGCTAAAAAGCCGATAGAGGAGATAAAAATGGATTGCTAAACTTCTTTAATGAAGCTTCCTGCCTCCTCTCTAGGGGAAAAACTGTAACAAACACGGACAACAGCATAGGCATCTTAAAGTGTTGGTGCTGGAGTATGGGTAAATTTGATGTTTTTCTCTTTTATTTCAGGGGCAGAGAGAAGTTTGAGTTTGTGTGTTTTTTACTTACTGTTTGTCTCATATTTTCTGTGAGATTCACTTAATAGAGCCAGTCTTACTACAGTCTTGGAACCTGCCTGTACGAATGAATCCATCAGGCAAGTTGGCTATGAAGAAAAAGTTGAAAGATAAATGGACAGAATTTACAGCAGGGTGTGCTCCCTCAAATCTTGAGCATATATTTCAATGTCCGGCCCCCCATGATGATAAATACAACTTAAATTTTACTCTTGAATTTTGTTAAAGCAAATACAATTGCCATATCTTCTTTCTTTCGATGATTAATCTGACCAGATGTCTCATATATTTGCGTGTTCACTTGAAGTGCTTGATAGAGTACTCCATACAAAAAATTGAGTGTATCATCCATGTGGAACAGTCCCTTGGTTACAATTTTCCAGACATACAAATTGGCTGTCTTCACTGTTTTGTCTAGTGCGTTATATGTTTGTTACATGCTTTCTTTTTCATTATTTTTTTTCTTTTCAGAGTTCATTTACTATATTAGCCAATATATATATAGTTATGAAATAGTCTTGAAATAGTAAGAGCAAGAAAAATGCAAATGCATTTCTTGAAAGAAAATAGTGGCCCAGAAGCTTAACTGTCAGGAAAACCTGAGTTGGCATATGACTAAGCCAAAATCTTGCTGTAGTCATAGTTTTTCGTGTTCTAAATCCCAAGAAACAGAGTCCTGAGATGACCGACACCCCTGAGAAAAGAGTGACCTTGATATGATTTCTCGTTGTGGAAAGAGCTTTGTTCAGGTATGTGGCCACAAACATCGGTGAAAGATTAAGCATAGAGTTTGTGTAATTGGACAACTAGCAGATTCACATAGAGGGTGGATTAGATAATCAGCTAGTGAGAATCACCACTTCATAACACACTATGCCTTTCGCAAGAGGAAGTGAGGAAAGGCTAGACAGAGACGGGGCCGGCAGAAAACATCCCAGGCCGTGCGGTGTTGCCTACCACAGAAAGGCGATGAGACCGTTGCTGCCAAGTGTCAACAGAGTATTTTGGTGTGGGTTTGTTTTGTTTTGGTGATAGTGGAGATCGAACCCAGAGGATGCTGAGCAACAACCCCAGCCCCCTTTTACTTATCTATTTTTGACATTTTGAGACAGAGACTTTCTAAATTGCCCAAGCCAGACTTGAACTTGGATTCTCCCACCTATCCTAAGAGTCTTCTTTATGGCGCTCGCTTTTTTTTTTTTTGCCAAGTGAACAGATAGCCGTAGCAGGATATCTCTCTGTTTAGATAATCTCAGAAAAGTTAACTTTAGCCCTCTGGGGAGTTCTGCCTGTTATAGAAAGGACAACACAACTCCCCACCGCACCCCCACACACCTCTTGGTCTTCCTGCCAATATTAGCTTTCTAACTGTGCTGGATACAATTTGATGAGCCACTTAAGATTTCCCCTGCTTTAGAAAATAAACTTATTTGTGTTTTCTTTCCTTTTCATTTAATTGCCCTCTCCTCTCTTCTTTCTGTATTCCTAGTGAATCTATTTTCTGACCCTATCACATTGCCAGTAAATTGAAACAAGCCATAGTATGTGGATATTTGGGAGTTCAGGATCAATTAGGTTCTTTTTCAGGTTGTTTGAGTTTGTAATTATTTTTCATCTTTTTACTGAATGAGTATTTTTAAGACCACATGATGTAAAATGTTATTTAATGTTTTGAATTTATTCCAATAATATATTGTGAATAGTAAGGATATAGTTAAATTCTTAGTCCCAAAGAGAGACTTCAATAAAAATCCCAAATTCTTTTTAATTAACATAATACTTACAATTTACTCCCACTCCCAGTGCAAGAACTCTGAACAGAAAATTGAATCTGTTGTCATTGATAATATCTGTATGATCAGCATTTCTTCTTTATTTCTGATTTATCAAAATTGTTTAGGATTTTTCATACTCATTTTTATATCAAATACATAATTAGGTGACCGAGTCTATTTTTATGGGAACGTGTATTTATTGGATTTATGTGAGTTATCTTTAAGTCAATAACCTGAGGATTACACCAGTGTTCTGCTAAGTTTTCTGAGTCACATGCTCTGAAACACGCACACAAAGACACGCATTCTCTCAGTACACACACACTCTGGAAGTAGCGTCATAATATCAATTAAAATCTTTTCTGCCTCCACAGAAAACCTACTCATGCTGGCTTTATAACTTGAGAATCTGAAAGAAGTGCGGAGGTGCTGGCTCTCTGGCTCTCAGTGTGGTTTTTCCTGCGATACTGATGGCCCTGTTATGATTATGAGCACAGAGATAAGGTTGCTGTAGTTTTCTCTGCGTTGCCTAGGTTGGCCTCAGGGAAATTTGGTGTCCAGTTTAGGATCAAGTGTCGAACTCAAATAGAAAAGAATAATATTACTCTTATGACAGAAAAATAGATAATGTGAAACCTGACAGAAACTCATGTTTAAATTTCATGATTACATGATTAAAAGATGGTCCTGGATATTGGCCAAAAGAAAAATCCTCAAAGGATTCTAAGCCAGCGATCTCACAGAGACTTGTTATGGATTCCCACGGTGACGGCTCTGGGTGTGAACGTGCTAGAAACATGGAAAGCATCTCATTTTAGTAGGAAGTCCTATACTCTAGGGAGTCACCAGTATGATCCACCTTTTACTGAAGAAATATCATTCTATAAAATGACATGATTAATTTCATTAGGAAGAGGTACAAATTGGGAAGCAAGCTATGACCCTTGCCTTATTTCAACCAAAAATGATGCAAGCTATACAACATGCTAAAAAAGAAACTGAAAGTAGAGGATAAAATATATAAAGTCTGTTTTAATGGTAAATACATTAAAGTTATTGCTATATTATTTAGGTTTTCTGCAAATTCCAGCAGTGGCTATATGGTTATCTTCAAATGCAAGAGAGAGAGAGAGAGAGTGTAACTATCTATTAAGCTACCAGATTCATGAATTCTTAGATTGAATTTTCCCTTCCTATTGTAGTCTTCCAATTAGAGAATCATTACTAGATTTCATACACAGAAAATATGGCAAGTAATTCGACTAACATGGCTCAACACACTTCCATTTACAGAAGAACAGCGGAACAGTTAGACTCATTTAATTTTAGAGCAGCAAGTACAACTATTCAAAAAACTTTCAGTGTAGTGTGGATAAAGTCTGCTAAAATAAAAAATATTTTTAAAAAATATGTAATTAAATGAGTTAATTGGTACTGCCATATTAATTTACATCTGTCAGATCTATGATCAGATGGACGCCACAGAAGCTAAATGTAATGTGATTCCACGGAGACTCTTATTTTAAAAATATGTATTGTTTGTTTTTCAGTTTCGCCTATTTTGTTCACGTGTGAAATAAATATGCAGGGGAAAAGCAACCCTAAAAAATTAATCCAATGAAAATATGTGCTGTTCCTTGGCTTCTTGTAAACTAAAAACTAGCAACTGATTTCTAGAAATTCAGATATAATCAAACATGTGATAGGAAGCAGCAATAGTTCTGGCCCATAAAATGGAAAGTCTTAGAAGACAGTGAAGACGCAGGATACAGTGAAAATGTATGAAGAGCTAAAAGATGTGAGGAAAACAGAAAAAAAAGTGTAAGCCCCAGTTTAAAGTACTTCAATACTTAAAATGGAGACATTGTATAAAGACATCCAGTATATCTAATTTAACTTACTAATCCATCACTTTTCTCCTTTAAAATTGTCACATGTATTCCAATTGTTATCAAGCTTGCCTCGATCAAAAATTCTTTGTCTTCTAAATAACTTCCAATGCCTTCATCACATCCTGTTCATTGTCTGCAAGAATGGTAAGTGAACTAAATACCACAGTTAAAGGGGGAAGGATTATTCGGATGATAAATCCGAATTCAACTAAACATTGTCTATAATACATGAATTTAAATACAAAGACATAGAAAGACTACAAGTCAAACCATGGAAAAATTACACTGTGCATAACATAAGCAAAAGAAATCTGGTACAGCTAATTTAACATCCAACATATTGAATTTGAAAACAAAGACTATTGCAATAAATAAAAGAATTATTTGGGCCGGGGATTTAGCTCAGTGGTTTGGTGGCCTCCCTTACAAGCGCAAGGACCCAAGTTCAATCCCTGGTACCAAAAAATAAATAAATAAAAGAATTATTCAATAATAAGGAAAAGAATATTTCCTCAGAAAGACACAGCATTCTGTAATGCGTATGTACCTAACAAGTGAACCTGAATAGTGAAGAGACAAAACTAATAAAGTCAATAGAAAGTATAGACAAATTTGCAGGATAAATTCATTTTTCATTAAATATGAAGCAGAAAATAAAAATTGGTGAGGCTTTTTGTCATATAAGCATAGTAGCAACCAACTGCGCATAGTTTACATGTATATAATATAAAACTCAAAGACTAGGAATATGTTTTATTTTCAGTACAGATAACACATAAAGACTTTTCTTAACCGCATAAGGGCCGGGGATTTGGCTCAGTGTTTCTTCCACATGCCTCGCAAGCATTAGGGCCCAAGTTCATATTTTACATTGTCAATTATCCCATTAGGATCTTATTTACAATTATAGTTTTTTTTTTTTTTTACACTGGAGAAACTATTCGGTATTTATACATGTGTGACTTACTTATTTTACTTAAGAGTATAACCTCAATATACAGTCTTCTTAAAGTAAATACTTTCCTAAAACTTCCTTACTGTTTTTTTTTCTTTTATCATCAAACTTGGGGAATTAATGACATTTATTGATTAAAAATATGTGTACATTTATGGACTATAAATATGATTGCCTTTACCAGCTAAGAAATTTTTTAAAAAAGTAATTATTTGTAAGTTAGCAGTGAGAAACTCTGTAATTTGGTTGAGGAACAGAAAAAGGAGAAAGTAAATAGCACACCAAAAAAAAAAAAAAAATCCCCACATTTCCTTAATGTCACACAAGGGAAATTGGGAAGATTTTCTCATTCTTTAATTTTTTGTTTGTTTGTTTTTTTGTTTGTTCATTTGTTTGTTTTTAAGACAGGGTCTCACTATGTAGTTGAGACTGACCTGGAACTCACTATGTAGCACAGGCTCTTTTTTTTGTTTTTGAATTTATTGGTATATTTTAGGCATGCAGCACAGTTACATTCATTATTGGGATCTTCTACCTTTACGTGACAGGTCTTGG